AGAACCACTTCTTTCAGATGGAGAAGATTCCGAAATGGAAATGTCTATCCAATTCAAACAGAGACTCTAAAAGCGAAACCCCACCAATAAGATAGAACACAAAGACTATAGAAGCGAGGCAAAGGAAAGGAATGCCTCTTCTTTGGAAAAGAGGATAGATAGAACTATTTGAATTCAATAGAAACGTAACACTGAGTAAGATAACAGACACTAGCAAACTGAGCACGAAACAGAGACAAATAGGTGCAAATTCGGACATAGGGGAACTACTCCAAATTTTTCTTACAATTCGCCACACCAAGGTGAAAGGATTCGAACCTAAACAGATGCGCTGACCAGACTGCGCTACACCTTGTCTTACCCACTCACTAGCTCTTCGTCGTTCGCCTCACCTCACTGCCGATCGCCGCGCTCCTTATCTACGCTAAAGTACCGTACGTTCTTTTTCGCGAAGAGCGACCTCGACCGACCGAACCAACGCCTTATCAAACATACTTTTATTTTGTCAAGGCTCTCGCGGGCAGCCGTACATGATACCCGACGGTTTGCACCCGCCTGCGGCGAAGGCCTGGTCAATCGTATACGATCATCAAAATCGGAGTCGCTAACACCCATTTTGAGTTGCCTCGTCCTTAGAGTCAAGCTGGATCTTCATTCAACGCTAAATCTCGAAACCTTTCCCTCGTCTTCCGAGATGAGACGGACTCCACCCATCAACCTTAGTCGTTCAAACCTACCTTTATGCCCACATCCCTACCCAAATAGTAACCAAATCCTTCTTTGCCCTTCCTTTCATGGAAATTGGATAGGCTTTTTTCTTCAATGACTGTATCCTCTTTTCTTCTACCTGGAACCCACCCACCTTCCTTATTTTTAGCGGCAGTTGTCCCTCCTTCTTTTAACCAAAATTCATTCATCTCGTTGCACTGTGCTTTATTGCTTCTTCCCACCCATGGAATCTCATTCATTTGCATTTGTTCTCTCTCGCGGTCATGCCTTTATCTTAGTTGCTATGGACTACTTTTTTACAAAAATAGAGGGAGAACCGCTCCGAAAGGTAACTCAGAAAAGGGCTCCGCAATCGCATCCTATTACTGTACACGTTGATGATCTTGTATACTAACCGAGATTACATCCGTACTCGCCCGAGAACACGTACATCCTCCTTGTAATTGTCTTGTGTTAGGGGTTTTCGAACATACTCGATATGCCTGCATGTCGATAGTTCGCTCCCTCTCTCTCAGCTAAGGAAAGAGATAGATAGAAAATTCACGCTTGTACTTCGTTATTTCCTGCGGATTTATCGTCTCGTTACTTCTCTCTGATTGTGATTTCCCACGTGCCGTACCATACCGCTCAGGAAAACAAAGAAGAACCAGGCTAGGCTACTCCTGTTCCCCTTTCTGAATCAACTTGTCCTTGCGCTTCAAACTTGCGAGCGAGTGTCGATCGCTCCTTTGCCTGGGGAAGATCTGACGACTCCTGCCCAAAAATAGATTGGCGGGTTACGAATTAAGATTTGCTACTGCCAAAGAGGCCAGGAACGAGCTTCCGCTTTATCTAAAGATAAAACCTATTCATTCCTTTCTCTCTTCCTGATCACTCAGAATCCGCTGATCAGGTGAAGCCCGCCTTCTCTTCTCGTTGGCACGGATGAATCAGTTACATCTTGTTCCTACTACTACCGAGTAGAGGACATTTCATTCACAGACCTTGATCTTTAAGGTGAAAGTGGGCCTTAGCTGGCTGACCTTACCCGTTTTCGTTGGATGACCGGCCCATTCTTAGACTTGGTGAACTCCTGTCGCGATGAATTAAACTCCGTTCCATGCCCCGCTGCTTGTCAATCACATCGGAAAGTCGTTGGGTCGGCGGAGACCTCTTTCGGCAAAGAATTATACAACAAAGCCCGATTCGAATCATTATGCTCGATAAAAGGAATAAGGGGAGCTCCAATAGAAAACAGCACTACTGCTAGTAAGATAGCGATCCAGGCAAGCGCAAAAAAAAAAGGGAGCACAAGCAAGCACAAGAATCAAAGCAGGCAAGGGAGGTTGAAAAAAGAAGTTAAAGAGGCATAGAGCACAGCTTCGATTCATTTATGTGATTATTGAATCCCAACTTAACGAACAAAGGGAGGAAGTCGATCTTGTTGGTACGGTACCATTGACTAAACTAAACACCGAAAGAATATCGATTTCAAACAGCAAATCAATGCAATAAAGTGAGTTCAGGATTGATAATAGAGTGAATAGAAAAAACGCATGGTTACGCTTTCGAAGCTAGCTAGCTTAAGTTAAGCCGTTGCGCGCAAGGGCGCTAAGAGCATCACTGCATTCATTAAGACAGATTGAAAGTCTGTAGTTGACAAGACAAATAGGCAATGAAAGGTATTCAAGTTACGTTGTCAGTCTACGGTATCGAAGCTTCGGCTTAGTCACAATCTACCTTCCCTCTTGTTTCAGAGGGAATGTTAGGAGTTCCCCTTATGTGAGGAGTGAGTAACGAGTGAGGAAAGCTCTATAAAAGGTATAAGAGTGGACTTCTAACTAGTAGCTAGTCTGAGGTAAACGACTAAACGATTGGTAATTGAGTTCAGGACTGGTAATTGAATCATAGACTAAGCATTGTGAAGAGCTCAACTTATTATAATGAATGCAAAGATTCTGGGCAATTTCCGAACTCTAATGAGGAACGGAGAATCCCCCATTAAAGCTGTGGAAGTAGGGATTTAAGCATTCATTAAAGCAAAGTAAACGATACACGTTGATTGCGCGGATAAGCTTTCTTTCCTTCTAACGAAGGCAAGCAAGTGTGGGAAATGGTTTTGACCATTTCATTACAGCGCCCCGGTCCGAACCAACCTACGGCCTTAGAGAAAAGTAGCATGAGGCCCCTCAGGGAGGAAAGTGTGAGTGACTCCACTCCGCTATCACCGGCTGACTTGAACAAGCAAGAAATTCTCTCATCTTGGGACTTCTCCTTAGATATACGAACATCTAAGCTAGCCATGAGCTGTTGATAACGCTCAGCAACCTTACGATCCGCGAGAGCTTAACTAATAGGGCACCTAAGATCGCATACGCTTTAAAGACCTGTCCTGGGTATACCTCGTCAGCCAGCATCCACACTAAGATGTGATGTGTTAATGCGAATGATGGCCACGAGCTGTAATAACCAAAGCTGAGGTTTACCTGTGTGAAAAGTCACACTTGATCCCATCCGATTAGATGAAGCTCCCTTGTACGGAAGCTGGAACCTCACCCACCGTTTGGACCTGGTCATCCATGTGGCCGCAAAATCATAGCCGAAGATCGCACCCACCAGTAACTCAGTGAGACCGGCGGGCATCGAATCGGTTGCCGCCTTTCAAATCAAAAGAGTAGTATGTGATTACTCCCTTGACTCACTATTCTTAAGTCAGAAAGAGAACAACTATCTTACTGATTATTCAAAGATAGCACTATAACAACTGGCACCTTAGCGAGTCCCTTGGCGAGAAAGAAAAGATATAGCCTAAAAAACTACGCCTTATTAGTCCTCCGGTAAATAGGCTATATTGAAAAGAGACTAATGACGCGAAGGTATCCCTTTGCTGGCTCGTATTTGCTGGTTCGCTGGCGTAACTGAATCTCGAGAAATAAAGAAGGGATTTATCTCATCTCATAGTGCTAGAAAAAGGAAGGAAGAGTTCATTTTTCGACGCTACGATTTCTCTTTCTCTTATGAAATTTCGAAAAGATCACTCCTAAAAGCAAGAGTTATCTTATATACTATACGATTACGAAACCGCCAGAGGCGCCCCTGAGAATTGCGTCGTTGTGCCTGCTCTGATCTTGCCTTAAAGTAGATTCGGGAGTTGGTGCGCTCTTATCAGCTCTAACTTGGCTCCATATCAATCACTTAATTCCATTTCGATTTTTTTATCGCACGAGCTAGTCAGAAGGTAGCGTAAGCGTAGCTTGCTTCTAGAAGATTCTATAGTGATCCACTGGAATCGGGTGACGCCTCTCTGCTCGGAGAATTCCTCCCTTGGTCGTTAAAGTGGGGTGAAAACTGCAACTAATGCTCTATCTCTGTCGTCGAATACGGGATACTCACTTTCAATGGTAGGATCAACCCTCGCATCCCCAGAGCCGAAGACTAGCCGGCCCTTCTTGGGGTTATAAGGAGTCCGGTATCAGCAAGACCAGCCCAATCGTCTTGGTACGGTAGGTTCTCCCTACCCTTCATTAAATACCTTAAGTTTCGGTGACTCTACAAATAGAGAAATATATGATGTTGGAGAGATCACAACCCTCCCAAAACTACGTACCAAAAGCCGGAATCTCTATACCCATAAGAAAAGGTTAAGACAAACCGGAGGAGAAAGAGTTAAAAACTTTTAAGACTATTAGTCCTATAATAGTTGATATATCAGTGCAATAATCCCCCGGAAAGGAGATCCCCATAGCCGGGCTCTCTCTACAGATGAGAGGTAAGAAAGAACTCAGACATGTTAGAGAGAGGGATGATATATCCAAAAGGGTAAGGCAAAGGGGGTATTGTAACAGAGAAAAAAGAATAAAACCACAACCTAGGGAAGGTTTTCACAAAAATTATCCTTAGAAGCATCTTTTTTATAGCATGCTACCATGTTTAGAACACCAACATCTCTTTGTCAGGAATAGACACGTAGATACAACTGAGTCCGTTGCCCTTTAATTAGATTATATCTATGTCATGATTTCCTACTTTCTTAAAAAGTGTATTGCTCAAATGAGCAACTATTGTTTCTGTAGATCTTGCCTTCCATTTCTATATTCCATCCTAATCCTGTTTACCTTTCTCGGTCTATTTTTTTTTTTTTAAGTGGAAAGACAGATCCAACAATTTGGACTTGATAGCGAAGAAACAACTGTCGCCTTCGTTAAAGCACTTCTGAACAGAGTGAATGACCTTCAGATCGAACATTATAATGGTGGGAACCACATACCCTTGAAATTCAAAATTCAAAACCAATGCCCAAAAGGAGCGTTTGTATTCCATTCTGCAGGAGTGGGATTAAGAAAGTTCACCGTTCTTTGTTACGTCAGGGTAAGTTGCCTTGGAGGCTCGAGCGCAGGGACTTGGAAAGCCCTGGGCGTATAGCTGGACTGATAACAAAGGTCCAGCCTCTTCTGTTTCTTAACTAAAGAACGTTGCATTGCCACTTACCTTTTCGCCCGTTGGCTTTGTGATACCAAACGGGGGTGGCACCGCTTTGTATATTGAGTCTTGTGGTGTGGCCCTTCAGAGGTATTATGGGAATAGTGAAAAGACAACTCCCTTTACCTTTTCCGGTGTAACTTAACCGCTCTGGCACTCCTAGGTTTCTTCCTTCTTTTCATCGTATGATGATAAGTAGGAGGGACGAAACTGCGGATCAACTGGTTCGCTTTTCTCTTTCGATGTTTTCGTTATCCTAGAACGAAAGTGGGTACGATTATCTCGTGAAGAGACCGTCCTCCGTCCTTGAAGATCTATTGTACGGTCTCATACAGGTATGTCTAAATTTGGTTGAAAGGTATGTCCCCAGGGTTCTTAAAATTCCTTATGAATCTTGGACTTCCGTGGCTACCGCAATCGCGGGAGTTAAGAAAAGCCCCTTCGATTTCTTTGGGAACTCTTCGCAGTCTCCCTGTGGGATAAGGCTTCTTTGCTTGGTGCTGATGGTAACAGCCCGAGCCCGAGTAAGAACTCTAGACGTTGGCCTCAGCCGAATGCAAAGAGTGGGCCTCTCGATACATTCTGCCTTTGTTATTTTTATTTTCCTAGGGAGCCTCAGAAGGGGGAATGCTATCCCGACTTTTCATCTTTTTCATGGAGTCTATATCAAATCAACATGTAGATTACGTCGAATCGATTTACTGTCGTGCCGCCGCCGCTTTCACCTCTATGCTAAGTTTTGCATATAAAAAGTGTGCATGGAGGTTGTGCGAAAAGGCGGTCCTAGGACGGATGATGAGCTACTGGCGGAGTATCCTGTAGGTAGGTTAGGCTTCAAGGAGGAATTTTCGCTATTCCATGCCCAACGGCCTTAAACAGGCTTTATTGCGGCCTGCTCATGATTGGCCTATGGATGGGACTTTTCATCTGCATAAAGCCTCTAGATCGATTACGTCGTATTGAAAAATTGTTTAGTTATGATTTCTCTTCTGCGACCGATCGCTTCTCGCTTAATGTTAATAGTCTTAGACTGTCATGTATATGGAATTCTGAAGTCGCAATGGCCTGGGTTGTTTCTGGTCTTGGGACAAATGTTGTTTCTGTTCCTTGTCTAGTAGGGCCAAAAAATAGTTTGTTTCAATGCCGGGCAACCTCTTCTTGGCTTCTTTTCGCGCTTGCCCATCAGTGGTGTGGTATTGCGCGGAAAAGCTTTCTCCAGGGCAATTTCTTCGGTGATGATATCGTTATCGGGGTTCAAAATCTCTTTGGCGAAAACCTTGACGACTTCTTTTTGGCCTCCTTTCCATGATTGGTCGAAAAGAAGAACTAAGAAAAGCTCATTTAGAAATTTCGGAAAATAATCCGATACTTATCCCTGTAAATCAAAGAGGATGCTGACTCGAAAGTTTTTTTCCTGAAGTAGATGAGAAAGCGGACCCTAAATCAAGTCACGTATCCACCCCCAAGAGCATCCAATCTGTGCTTGAGGGAAATTCATTACACTAAAACTCCTCATAAATAGTGGTCGATATCACCAGTCTCCGTCTCTCTTCGGCCCGAGGAGAAGATAAAGCCCAGAAGACCAGAACGATGGGGCGGGACAATAGGATGTTTTTTTGGCTAGGTGATTCAAAGAAGAAGGTAAGTCAGAGCCAGCCTCGTTCCGATCAAAAGTAGTTTCCTCAAAATTCATCTTACGAAGTGGGCCCTTTAACATAACAGAAAATCCAGGATGACTTGGCGAATCCGCTTTAGTAGGTAAGCAGGCATAGGCATACCATTGATTTTGGCTAAAAGGCTCTTCCATTACTGGATTCTGGGGACGGGACATGGATCCAAAAGGTTGAAGAAGGATTGGTGGGCTCTTGTCCTGCAACTTGCTCGAGTGGTTGGTTTTCAATTTGCCTTCAATCAAGCTTATGATTCTTCAGATTAAATACCAGGAACCTATGCCTTTCGATCGTAGGAATTGCTTTCTAAGGTACCGTTGGCTTGGAAGCTGCTAGCCGACGAATAATGACCAAATGTTAACGAATTAAAGATTACCATCATGATCAACGCTTCAATTCAAAAAAAAACTTCTTTCTCACGATGTCGCTCTCCTCCCATACTGAAAAGGAAGACGAAAAGAAGAGCTTGAATGACCAAGGAAACCGACTTGCCCCGTGGCGGGGGTCAAAGTAGTCAAAACAGTCCATTCGTGGTAGGAAGGCAAGAATCCCAGCTTTCTTCCTCGACCAGTGGATAATAGCTCTTTTTGACTTATCTACTGGAATAGAAACGAATGGATTCGCACTGGAAGCTGTCTATCAAACATAGGTGCAAAAGCGGGTCAAAGGTTTTACGCCCTGATACGCTGTTTCGTTTCGCAAAGTTTCATTCTATATATAGGGAAAATTAGTCAAGCCCAATTCTGCCCTGAGAGGCACCTTCGATTGTGAAACTTTGAGTCCCACCTATAACAAAAGTAGTAAAAAAAGCGACTTTTGGCACCTCGCTTAGGGCGGAATTCGCTTTGCTACGAAAAATCCCGTGTTCACTGGATTGGTTGCAAAACGAGACCCCGTTTAGGGCTCCAAGTAGGTTTTGTCCAAATTTCCCGGGTTTCATGAAACGCACCACTTCTTGTTCTTGGTCGGTAAGTGGTCAACCAGCGCTTAGTCACGTGAGGGAGGGCGGAATGAACCTGGCGGGGAGTATTTCTTCGCAGAGGACGAATTGTAGTTTCATTCAGCATTGTAGCTAGGAGATATCTTTCTTTTAAACGAGACTCCATCCAATGGGTTGCAACCCTGTGAAAGCATATGCAGGAACTGTTCAGTCCCACGTACGTTCAGCGAGACTCCGAGAAAGCTTCCGTAAAGAAGTTCAGGGGTTCGTGCGAAGTGTACCGTTGCTTCTTCGATCCTGGGCCCTATGTCCTGTTCAAGCTCTCCCTCTCGAGTCGGGCTTGGAATGGGAGTGTGCTTTGATGAAACCATTCTTTGGGACCCATCACCGACCTCCGCCTTGCCAATCTCCGTCCTTTGTATCGATTAGAACTCAACGTGAGAAGCTAATAAAGTCATTGGATCACTTTGGATGGGGTCGGGTACGACAAGGAAAATGAAAATACATGTTAAAGGTATTCAAAGACGTTCTCTAAGCGCCCTGGAATTCAGTGATACCGTGGGCAAGGTAAGGAAAGTAGGGGCCTTCTAAGCCCAGCCCTGGAATTCGGTTCAAATAAAACAACTTAGAGGCCGTGACCTAGTAAGAACACTTTCAGCAAAGCAGTTTAGGGTAGTATGAATACTAGGAAAAGGTTTTGCGAAGGTTGGGTTCTTTGGTTGTTTATTCCACTTCTTTCTTTACCGGTCAGTTGGTTGGTTGCTTAGGGTTTCCCAAGCATTAGAAGATGGAGTGGATGGGTACTTCAGAAGATGGTTTACTGCCTTGGGGGAAAAGGAAGAATAGAGCTAGCGGGCCCGGTACGAATGCATTGACTGCATCCTTATTCTCTGTGTTCCGATCCTAGCGATGGCGGGCAGGTAATCCCAAGTCTCCCGGTCCACCGGCTGGAAGCAATCGTACGGAAGTTCGAACCGATTCCTCTTCTCTTGTGCTAAGCGCTGGAAGCGAGTTTTTGACTAATCAGTACTAGTAGAATAGAGTGCTACTACAGGAGAGAAGGAAGTAATGAATATTTCAATCGCGCTTAACTCATACTTCAATACATAAAAGAAAGTCGAATCTTCCTCAAGATATATTCGAGACTTCAAACACAAGAGATTAGTATATTCCGTCACGTAGTATCGGATAATACCCGAGTTTGAAGCCAACGTAATTTTTCCTTAGCGGGGGTAGAAGTGCATCTTAATATCTTTCTTTCATCCCAAGGCCTTGTTCAATTTCTCCACTTCGCCGACGCCACCACACCACAAGAGAGCATTGTCGGGGAGGTAAGGAGATCTTTATAGCATCGTCCTCCACTTGTCAGCTCTCGTCTCAGCTGCAGTTGTTCTCTGGCAGGGACTAGACCATCTGGCTACCTCAGCCTTTGCTTGCCTTTCTGCTGATGCCTATAGCTTTCCCCATGCCTTTGCAGGGCTCTCTAAATGCTGGGTCTACTGTTGCTGAAACTACTTGTTCAGGGGGAACTACTGCATCTGGCTCTGCCACTGATGGATCATATGCTGCTCTAGCCTCTGCTGCTAGCTCTAACTAATAAGTTTTCTCTCTATTTGCAAGCAGGGTCTGCAAGAGAGCTGATGTTGGTATTCGAGCTAAAGCTCATTGAAGAACTTCTTATATTGGCACTTGAGCAACTAGCTGATGTTAAGCATTTCAAACAGCTAAGACTGGTATTTACCCTTATGGCATTTCACTGACATTCTACCATTGAAACTGCGGATACTTGCATTCTAACTAATACAAACATTGAAGAATTGCTGGTACTAGCAGCTTCTTCTTTCCTTTTTTGTTATTAAGAGACAATTAAGAAGGCACTAAGACAAAGCAGCAATAAGACAAGTTTAAGACAATCTAGTAAAGGGCAAGTAATGGTTGAGAGTATACCCTATGGGCTAATAGAGATTTCACTGGCTTTGTTAGTTAGAGCTAGCTTTAAGGCTTTATAGCGAGTAGTTGCATAAAGTAGTCAGTCAATAGGTTCAGCAGTATATTCTTTTGATCCAAACCGGGAGTAGCACTTCTCTCACAAAAGCATCCCTACGCACAAGCAAAGTTTTAAGCACATGGAAATGCTTATGCGGGTGGAGCTCAGCTTATCGATGATGATGTAGTATCTTTTCGTAGGAACTCTCTAGGCACTTCTCAAGTTATTTGCAGCATTTCGATTGGTTGAGGGTATAAGGCTTGGATTGCTATCTACCCCTTAAAAGTTCACAGCCTAGCTAGCATTAGTTTGAGCAGCTTGGTTTCGAGTGACAGCATTAGTCTCATCGGGTGGAATATAGAAGTTTATGTGGTTCTCTACGTGGCATTCTCTAATGGGTTTGGACCTGAGTTGAGGCTATTGGATCTTGATCTCTCAACTGACTTAGCTTGGGGGTCGAAAGGTTTGAGTTGATTCTAGGGTTGTCACGACTATGGTTAGGGAAAGGTTCCCTGTAAATGCCTAAGTGTTGGTTGTCTGGGTGAATAGGCAACTAGGGAGAGGGGTCATCTTCAGTCAACTATTTTTCTTTTCATATTTTGCAAGAGTCCAAGTCATGTTCCCTAATTAGGCGGATGGGGCACTAAAGATTTTGGTTGTGTCTAGGAATAGTATGGGTTTGGTTATATCTAGGATAATCAACCGGAGGATTGTGTGGTTGGTACATCTCACCATTTACATAAGGTTCCCTATAATTTATGTAGAAGTCCTTCGTACTTTGCAAATCATCAAGTCGACAGACTAGGTTTGGCTGCTGAGGTGGCAGGTGTACCGTATTCACAATGGCCTGTACCCCCTAGTTACCTTTGTCATTATGAGGTGGGTTTTGCACATTCTGAGGATTAGGTATCGGAGCTTGAGGATTAAGTCTCTTAGGTTATCTTTGGGTTAGGTTGACAAGATTTACAAGGTTCTTGGAAGTAGTGTTCTGGCTAGGGTTTGGGAGTTTGCAACCCTTAAAAGTGTTCAGTCCAAGCTTGACATTAAGATTTTCCTGTTTATGGGCAGTAGCAATGGCTTGATCAAAAGTGTGCGGCTCAGCTCTAAGTACTTCTATTTCAAGGTCATCCCGCCTCAAATAGACTAGGCTCCTTAGTAACCTCCTTCATTCATGCCTTACTCTTAAATTATGTAACAAAAGAAAAGAGATAGGCACCTATTATAGATAATTAGTGGTTTAGCTGTATTGCTAAATCTGTTCCTTCCCTCTACTCTAGTATGCTATTGACTTCCTTCTGTGATCTGCAATACATAGTTCCATAGCTTGATCAGTAAGGCTCCTTGGGAATAGTCTGATCATCATGAGCCACTTCAGCACATTAGGCGGATGGGCATAAAAGGATTTCACGTGCGGAAGGGGATCCCCCTTTTCGCTATGTAGGTTCAACTACTTTTTGATGTAGGCCCCATCATTCCTTCCAAATCTAAGGATCATAGGCTTGAGGACCTCTTCATACGAATTTTTCTATTTCCTCTTAATCTTAATGTTTCAAGCCTTTTTAGCTGTTCCTGGACTTCCCTACCGAAGCTCTGGTGGACTACCCTGGTTTCATCTTTCAATGCGCTATTCCCTTCTCCCATCGGCCTATTCAAGCAATTATGAACCCAGAACGAATACCCCATCTTCCACTTCAAGTCCTGTTTCAAAGCCC